CCACTTTTGGTCCTATGAGTTTTGCACCAATTCCACATTTAGTCCCCGTCTTTCACTTTATCCATTTTTGGTACCTGACTATTGTTTTTTGACCATTTTTGGTCCAACTCCGGGCATTTTTACTACCGGAAAAGGACTATATATGGTCAAGAAAATAATAGTCAGGTACCAAAAATGGATAAAGTGAAAGACGAGGACTAAATGTGGAATTGGCGCAAAACTCGCAGGACCAAAAGTGGAATTTTTTCTATAACTAAGTGTCATAGTAGGACGAAATGACAATATTATTAAACAATGCATTTCAGGAAGATATAAATGTGATAAAATTGTAGAGCTTATTAAATACTACATATGATTTAAGTTGAGAAGGGAATGAACACAAACTTCAAAATTTTAGACAAGATTTTTACTTCTTAGTTTCCTCCTATGCTTTTATCCCCTCTTTTCTCCCTGCTTCTCCTCCCTTAGCATCTTATCTCGCGGCCCTCTTCCTCTTTATTTTCCTTAGTGTCATTTTGTTCGTGGTTTTTCTCTAGACTCACAAGAACTAATGCCTACTAGCACCTTTTTAATACTAAGAATTATTATTGACTATTCTATTCTTACGTTTGTTTTCTTCTAACTCGTGATATTCGAGTTTGCCTGTTGCTCTACCGCTACTTTTGTTTTCTTCTCTCAAGGGCTAGCCAAATGTATAGCATGCTGTTTGGATGAGTGTTACGTTGAAATTTTTAATATTATGATGACAACATGCATTTGTTCCCTTCTAGAGTGTTAGGCCATGTGTATATGTATCTCTATTTTTTTTTTGAAAGGAAACTAAATGGGAATAAAAACTGTGAAGGGCTAGTCCCAGATCGTTGTGGCTCAAGCTACCGATCCAAAATAACTGGTGTCCCAGCCGATCCAAACATAGTATGCCAAGGGAATATCTGCTCGGTAGGGAGAAGACGCTTCTAGAGAGGTTGTGTGTTCCTTCTTTAACATCGGGAATTATCCGGCGTCTCTGAAGTATGTAGCGTTGTTCCTATCCTTTACATACGCCTTCTTCGCCTTTGGGGGAAGATCGGAGATTGTGAAGAAAATCGGCTGGGGTTTCGGCGAACGGAGACCTGTTTGGGCCAGGTAGTGAGCGACAAAGTTTCCTTCTCGAGGACAGTGAGCAGCCGTGAGGCTATAGGCCCGTTTGAGACGAAATATGGTGTCAAGATCTTGTCTAAGATAACCAGGTATTGTAACCGAACCTTTTAGCATTTTGACACATGTTTCAAAATCAGTTTGTGTCTCAAAGTTTTTGTATCCTTCCTCTGCGATTATTTGTATGGAGGTGCATAAGGAGGAGATTTCAGCCTGCAGGGGATTTCGGACTGACAGGGGGAAGGAAACTGCTAGGACAAGATTTCCATCGGTATCACGAAGGATTCCTCCCCCACCAGCCTTACTACCTGTAAATGAAGCGTTCGTGTTTAAGGTAAATTGCTTAGAATCGTTTGGCTGCCATTTGATGTTGATTTTGGATGTGTGTCTTTGGTGTTTGACATATGGGATTAATTCATCTGTATGTAATTCTGGGTCGAATTCAAATCCCTTTCTGTGTGAATTTGCATATACCCTGATAGAGTATATGGGCCTGGACCCCATGGCCCACATACTCAAGTCAACGCATAGCCTGAACAAGCACGTCGTCGCCACTCACAGTCTCATTAAAGAGACCGCCCTTCACCGGGTAGCGCACGGTCACTTCGTACGTTCCCTTGGCAAGGGCCTCCTCTAGGCGGGCAGCAGCTGCCGAAGAAGGAGCCACGCGGGAGGCCGTGGCGACCATGGCCGAAGAGGGCCCCTCATCCAGATCCACCAGGGGAAGGGTCTTGGCTGGATAGCAGCCTCAGCAATTTGGGCGGAGGGAGCACCGGCCTCATCACCAACAGGGACCTTCTTTGTCTTCTTCGGGGCCTGCACCACGTTCAGGCCGGCTTCGGCCAGAGTCTTCTGGCCTTCGTCGGCAGTCCTCTTATTCTTCTTCTTGGCAACAGGCTTCTTGACGGCCTCAGCACCTCCTTGAGAACCGCCAGCAGATGCTTTTGCTTTCTCAGCAGCCTGAGCGGCCTTCAGCTCCGCATCGGCTTTCTTTGCAGCCCGGGCCATGAAGGACATTCGATCCATGACAAAACCTGCACAAAACAAAGGGACATCAGTAAAACAGCAAGCAAACATACTACGAGAAAGGTAAAAGACGAAGGACAACCTTCGGCTTCAGCGGGAACACCAAGTGAGGGACCGTCGGCCTGTTCATAAGACCCCTCCATCTTCGGCCAGAAGCCATCGTCCACATCACCAGGACAGTAGTATCTCACGAAGCCGAGGGCGGCCATCTTATACTCCATAATGTACGTTGCTATGCTCCTTGGCCCGCCCTTGATAAAAGCTTCCACTTGCCTACTGATCTCGGCATTCCACGGAGGATTATGCAACTCGAACAGGCCGCTATGACCCACAGAAGGGAAGAAACCGCCCCGGCCAAGGTTAACAAAAACAAACTTCGCCTTCCAGCCATGGATAGACGAAGGAAGATCTGTAAATGTCCTCCTCTTGGGAACTTGCTGTAAGGCAGCATAACCGGCGCAATTCTGATGGCTCCCTCGACCTATCCGGTACAGGTTGGTGAAAAGCGCAGTCGTCGGCGAGAAGCCCAACTCATCACAATGGATAAGGAAGCCGACGATGAGCGAGTAGCTGTTGGGCGTCAACAAGGCTGGAGGTAAACTCACCATATCAAGGTATTCCTTGATGAAAGGATGGAGGGGGAACCGCAAACCCTTCGCAAAACTCATTGGGTATACCCCAAAATAACCCAAAGGGGGGTTCAACACGTGATCCGTCGGCTTGGGCGCCCGCACCCGTCCATACGGCCCCACATACAACTGAGCAACGTGGTACTCGCCGAGGGTCCCTTCCGGCCGGATAATGTACAAATTGCTAAGGTCAAGTTGCGAGTGCCCCCGCGGTACTCCCTTGCGCTGCTTCCGTCGATACGGTTTCTTCGTCCCTGGAGCCGAGGGGCCCTCCCCTGCTACGGAAGATACCGGAGGGGGGCAGGGAATATTGGCCGATGAAGAGGCCCCATCCCCCCTCAGAGGCGAATTGGACGTCGCTTCGTCCTCACCAGAGTTCTGCGCACCAGCGTCGTCGCTCATACATTCTTCGTCTACAGAAGTACGGTAGTCGGCTGTATGCTCCATCTCAATTTCGAAGGCTTCCACTATCCGAAGGTCAACCCCAGGAGACGTGCCTTCGTCGTCAAAAGGCCAATCCGTCTCGTCCAAAGAAGCTGTCAAATCAACAGGGGAGGGAACGCTACGGCCGTTAGGGAACGGCATAACACCTAAACCTATTCCTAAGGGCGGTTTTTCGGATCTAAATGAATTTTCCTACAAACACTAGATCTTACCCCCAGGAAGCAAAGTATGAGAAAATAACAAAGAACAAGGAAGAAACTGACCTTGGAAGATTTGAAGATCTGAAAAAGGTTGATGAAGACTTGAAGAAACGCTCCGGAAGTTTCTCTCTCTAAAAAATTGGACAACACTTCGTTGCTCAGCAAGGTTGCAAATGGAGTACCGCCTCGGGGTTAAGGGGTACTTATAGGCAACCCCTCCAACGGTCACTACACGTGGCAACCTCCAATTGGCCACCTCAACGGCGCCTCTCCTAGGACCAATCAGCGCCCGTCTTTTCACATTCCACTCTAAGGCCACCACTACGGCCCCACAAGCCCAAACTAGGGTGGGCATCGGCCCACTCACTCAAGAGCAAGGAGAACTCGCAACGGCCCGGTTTACCAAAGGAATAGCCGCATCAGCAAAGCACGCTACGGCCCCAAGGTAACCCTAAAAACCACGAGTACCGCTACGGCCACTCACGCACACATCGTTCGACGATGACCCTGGTATCGCGGCCTTCGTCCAAGGGTTCTCCCACAGGGTTACCTTGGACAGGTTCGCCTAAGGGTTGGACTCACGACTAACGCATGGGATACCGTATCGGCTCGAGAACATCATGACTCCCTTGCGCCTCGACTACTCTTCGGCCAAAGGAGTGGGGGACTGTATCGGCTACAGGAAAGGAAACAACATAAAACGGAGCGCAACGGCCTCAAAAGCAAGAGGGTGCGCTACGGCTCACCGATAACAGAAGACAAACAATTCACCTCAAAGGCACTATGGATCGCATCGGCCACAGAGTCCCAAAAAATAAAACTAGCGCGCAACGGCCACGTACACTGGGGGACTGCGCCGGCTTATCAAGACAAGCAAACACAAATGAAAAAAGGGTTGTCGACTTACCAACACTTCGGCCGCATGACAAGCTAAGAATCAATCTCCACTCCATAAAGCGACGTTATCGCTGCGGCCAAAAAAAAGTTGTGAGGGAGCTCTTCGGCCCCAACAGATAATAATGAGACAGGCCAGTTTTTCATCAGAATTCACATCTACGAAAAAAAAAAGTGCATCGCCTCGTCCTCAAAAACACTTTCACAAGGAACGCATCGGCCCGCATCAAGGCCACAAATCCCCGAGAGCGCTTCGTCTCCTTCAAATAAGGAAGCCGCTTCATCCAAAATCAAAGCAGAACCTCTTCGGCCACCAAGCACCCTGAGCTCACGCAACGGCCAGCCAGAAAGGAACAAGTACTCCCTTTCGCTTCGGCTTCGCCTCAGCTCAGAGAGTGGGGGACTCCTGATAGAGTATATGGGCCTGGACCCCATGGCCCACATACTCAAGTCAACGATGACCAGAAGAACACCCACGTGGCCCCCTTCGGCCAGTGGGTCCGCATCGGCCAGAAACCGAACCGGCCCAGGAAGCACGCCTGGACTCCCGGAGGGCCGTATCGGCCCATGGACCGCATCGGCCATGAGACCGCATCGGCAAAAGGCACCGCATCGGCCAGATTTTGCCCTTGCAGAATGCATCTCTCTACTTTATTTACTAAGTATTGTACACACTTCAGCAGTTCCGTGTCTGCAAGGAACCGGAAGATTAACACCCTCGTCTCCGGTCGATATTCCGGCATATATACAGGTCACGGCCGCGGTATCCGCTTTCAGTGGCGAGGAGGCTGCTGGTAAACGAAGCCAGAGAGCTAAAATATTCACAGGCTGTGGACGATTATTCTCAAAGCTACTAGCTTCAGCAAACCCCGACCTCCAAGCGGCCGATTCTTAGCATCTCTGCATATCGACAATGGTGACCGCGGGGAAGAAGACGAAGAAGACCCATGAGAGCATAAACAACAGGTTAGCTTTGGTCATGAAGAGCGGTAAGTTTACACTTGGGTACAAAACCGTTCTCAAGACCCTTAGGAACTCCAAAGGAAAGCTTGTATTGATATCCAACAATTGCCCACCTCTAAGGAAGTCTGAGATTGAGTACTATGCTATGCTTGCTAAGGTTGGGGTTCATCATTACAATGGAAACAATGTTGATCTTGGGACAGCCTGTGGAAAGTATTTCCGTGTGTCGTGCCTTAGCATCGTTGATCCAGGTGATTCTGACATCATCAAGACTATGCCGGGAGACCAATAAGAGATTTACTTAGTGGTGTTAAACGTGTCCTCTTTGTTTTGTGCTTGTTTTCTCTGAGTTTGAGTCTGATTCTACTGGATTACATTTTATGTGTTACCTATTTGACTCTAAAAGTCGATGTTTCAAATTTTGACTCATTATTAAATACGGAGTACTTTGTTAAAAAAAAAAAAAAAAAAAAAAAAAAAAAAAAAAAAAAAAAAATACTAAGTATTGTACACAGCCCATTAGTGGCCCTATTTCGCCCAAAGAAGGCATGCTTATTGTAATGGGCCTCCTAAGCCCATGGCTAGGAGCCCAAATCCACATTTTTACCTATAAATAGACCCCTTGGGGCTAGTTATAGGGGGTTGAGAAATATAATTACTCACTTTCTCTCTCTAGCTCTCACTTCTCTCTAGATTAATACTCTATCATACCCAAGACCTGGTGTACTCTTTGATTGCTAAAATTGTGTGATTTTAGTAGAGTTGTTTACCGTCCCACACACATGAATTGAATGCTTTCCAAATATGCCATATAATAATTCCTGGCATTGCCTGCTTTATATGGTCCTTGATTCTGTTATTCTTTCCCCCTAGCCACCAAAGGAAGAGTGTCTGCCTGAGTCCTTCATGTTCTGTTTTCCTTACCTGCAAAATGGAAGAAAAATAGTCCCAGATGGGTCTGATTAGGGAACAATTAAACAAGCAGTGGTTTAGGCTTTTTTGATGTTTGCAACAGAAAGGGCATCTAGTGGCCAAACTGACTTGGAAACGATATAGGGTTTCTGGGTAGGGGAGGATTTGGTTTAGAACTTTCCAGAGGAATATTTTCAGTTTAAGGGGTAGTTTGTTGGTCCAAATGTGAGTGTGGCTAAATAAAATAGGCTGAGGGTTACGGGAAATGTTGTATGCACTGGTCAGAGAGAAATTTCCATCTTTTTCTAGGGTCCAAAAAGGTGAGGTTTCATTGGTATGAATCAGTTCATGGTGCTTTTGGTCAATGTTACAAAGTAGTTTCCAAGTGAGAGAGTCATAAACTTTATGGCACATGGGTATATTTCTAGCATATCTGTTCTGCATGTAAACAGCCCAGACAGAGTTTTGTTCTTTAAATTGCCACCACAACTTGAGATGTTGAGCATGTTGTATGTCTATGAGTGATCTGATGTTTAGACCTCCTTCCTCCCCCGGCCTGCAAATATGATCCCATTTTTTCCAATGATATCTTTTCTTTGTCCCATTGGTCCCCCAAAAGAAATTTGACATGATACGGTTTAGTATCTGAATGACCTTAGCAGGGAATTTGGTGATTGCCAAGTGGTGCATTGGGATATAATTTAAAACGTGTTTGATCAGAATTAGCCGTCCACTCCGATTTATCTGCTTCTTCTGCCAGGTTTGTAGTTTCGATTCGAATGTTTCGATGATTTTGACACAGTGGATTGGCCTGGTTATTCCTTGATGAAGAACCACCCCCAGATAGGTGATGGGCAGGTTTGTGACCTTCATTTTTGACATTTTCTGGAGTTCTCTCTTTTTATCCAGTGAGGTGTTTTTACTAACCACAATGTTACATTTTCCCAAGTTCACCAACTGGCCTGAGGCTTTGGAGAACCGGTGCAGGTAGTCAAGGAGAGTTTTGATGGAACCGGCTGCACCATTCAAGAAGAGGAGTAGGTCGTCTGCGTACCCCAACTGCGCAACTGGGCTGGGGTATCCTCCTATTAGATAGGGTCTAATCGCATGTTTTTCTAACAACTGATGAAGCCTCCGTGTAAAGCTTTCTATTGTAATGATGAATAGGTAAGGGGAGAGGGGGTCTCCCTGTTTAACTCCCCTTTGTGGCTTAAAGAAACCACAGGGCTGACCATTAATAAGAATAGAGATACAATTGGAGGCCAGGTTGGTAGAGATGAGCTGGATGAACCTCTCATCGAACCCCAATTTGGATAATGTGCCCTCCAAAAAAGACCAAGATACGCGATCAAACGCTTGGGCCAGATCCAGCTTGATAGCGACATTCCCTGCCCTAACCTTGTGGTTGAGGTGGTGGAGTACTTCTTTGGCTAGCAGAATGTGGTGATGAATGTTTTCACCCTCCATAAATCCGATTTGCTCTTTGGAGATAAATTTTGGTAAGAGGGGTTTCAGCCTATTAGCCAAAAATTTTGTACACACTTTGTTTAGGAAATTTGTGAGGCTAATGGGTCTGTAGTGACTGAACAGTTTGGGATTTTGTTTTTTTTGGGATAAGGGTTATTAGTGAGGAGTTTAATGCTTGAGGCATAGGTTTCCCCTGAAAGAATTCCTGGACGGCCGTGTAGAGGTCCTCCTTAATAATTTCCCAGCAAGCCCGAAAGAATTTCCCGTTGAACCCGTCCGGACCGGGATAGCTGTCCTGGTCTAGTGACCAAATCGTGTCATGTATCTCCTGTGGCTGAGGGATAGAGGTGAGGTAGGAGTTGTCTGCTGCAGTGATTACCTTGGGTAGAAGGCCCAGGAAATGTGCTTGGTCGCTCCCTGGTTGGGCAGTGTATAGGGTTTGAAAGTGTTCTACAGCAGCTCTCGCAATGTCGACCGTGTCTTGCAATAGATTTCCTTGACTGTCCTCTATAGCCTGTATTCGCTGGCCCCAACGTTTTTGTCGTACAAAGTTATGAAAAAACTTTGTGTTAGCCTCACCCTCGCCCAACCATTTGATCTTGGCACGTTGTTTCCAAAAAGTTTCCTCCTGCTTGAGTCTAAGTAGGAGCTCCACTTGTGTTTGCGACCATTCAGACCTAGTGGAGTCCGAGGGAGAGTGAATGTACGATTCCTCGGCCCTTTCAGCCGCAATTTCAGCCTTACGGACCTCTTTAAAAATGTCCCCAAACGTCGCCTTGTTCCAATTTTTTAATGCCCTCTTCGTAGCTTGTAGTTTGTCATAGAAGTCGCGCATTCCTGTCCCTGGCGGGGATGCTTTCCAGGTGGAGGAAACAGTTTCATGGAAGGAGTGGTGCGAAATCCACATCTCCTGAAATCTAAACGATTTAGGACCCAAACCAGTAGATTTAGTGCATGATAAAATGATTGGTGTGTGGTCTGATGATACTCTAGGAAGATGGTTTTCAATAACCGAGTCAAAGAGGTTAATGAAAAGATCATTTCCAAGGAAACGATCTAGTCTCCGCCATAGTCTGCCTGTTGAGCGCACACCCGTCCATGTATATTTTGTCCCGGTAAATGGGATGTCTCTTAGTTCACATTCATCAATACAGTCCTTAAAATCAATAATATCAGGAACTTTAGGAATGGATTTACCAATGAAGTCGCTAAGAGAGGCCATCACATTGAAATCCCCTCCTATGACCCAAGGGAGATTGTTAGAGTTGTTCTAGACCTTTAGTTCATCCCAGAGCATTAGTCTTGCATTTCTGGTGTGTTTACCATAAACGGTGGTAAAACAAAAAACAGTTCCTGTGGCATTGTCTATGATGTTTGCATGGAGGACTTGATTACCCTCTGTGACTGACTGAACCGTGAAATGGCTGTCTTTCCAGAATAACCAAATTTTGTTATCAACCGTTGCAAAAACCTTTGTAAAACCAAACTGATTTTTGTAATAATCTGCTTTATCATATAGGACCATCGGTTCAATAACCGAGAAAAGAGACACGTTCCACTGTTGTAACATGTTTTGTAGTCTACTAGTGGAGGAGAGTAGAACACATACATTCCAATTAAGAATTATCATAAGACAGAGGGACGAAGCCCCTTGGCTTCCTTTGACGTCTGGGATCTGGTGTGAACAGGAGATGTAGCTCTGTTGTAAACCAATTTGGTGAGTTTCTTAGCAGTGGTTTGGATAAGGGAGTCCTTGAATAATTCATTGTTTGCAACTTTATCCAATTTATTAGTTAGAGAGACTGAGTCTGCCTTCCAACCAGAGCCTTTTATCACCCCATTGTCCCCATCCGAACAGTGGCCTTCCTCGACTGTAACCAGGGTTGGGGTTCTTTCCTTGTAGGGCATGTCGTCCAAGGGGCGTGGCTTAGAAGTAGGGGACCGAGGAATTTCAACGTCAAAGGGATTTGGGTTGGTATCAGTGGTCGTAGATAGTGTGAGTGTAGCTTGAGTAGTTTGTAAGGTGGAGTTAGCAATTTCGGAGGGAATGGGGTTGGTTTCAGTGATCGGAGACTGGGCGATTGGAGAAGAAACCTGGGTAGATTGGAAGGTGGGTATGGGATTAGGTTCAGTGTGAATTTGGGAGAGAGTGATTGGCCTTTCGGATGGGATAAGAATCTTATTGTTTAGGCTTACGGGTTCAAGGATTGGGTTTGAGAGACTACCCATCTGTGAGGATAAGGTTACAGTAGGCGTTGGGTGAATTATAGGAAGAGGACAAAGGGACACAGTCTGAGGCGCATTCAGGTTGGGTCCTTCCCGGTTGAGGGCATGGGGGACAGGGTTTGGCCTCAGATTTTGGGTAGTTTCCGGTGGCACCGGCCCTGGTTTAAGGGGCACGACGGTGAGGGGAGGGGAGGAGGAGGAGGTTGCAGTTTGCTTTCCCTTATTGCAGGTACCATGCCCAAGTCGGAAACAAGATAGGCAGTATGGGGAAAGGTCTTCATAGAAGACGTCCTGCTTGAATCCCGTTGAACCGTTTTGGATCCAAATTTGATGAATCCTTTCGGAAGTTACATCCAGTTCTAGACAAAGTCTTGCATGAGTCGGTCTGGCCAGAGTTGTTGTATCCTTGTCGATAAGCAGAGGCTTACCAATAAGATTAGCAATAGACATAATGGCTCGCCTATCATATAGGTGAATAGGTAAGCCCGGAAAACTTACCCAAGTAGGGGTAAAAGGGGATTCAATACCTGGTTTAAATGTAGGAGTCCATTTGGTGATTCTCATAATCAACCCATCAAAGGACCAAGTCTGCCATAGCCAGCATCTCAGAAAATCCTCCTCCTTATCTAACCGAAGGAGAAGGTGTTTTGGGGCCATAATTCCGATAGAGAATGAACCTTTGAATCCAACCTTGTTGAAGTTGCTGCGA